CAATCCTCCACCGTCCAATGGCGGTACATCTTAGCCCATGCTAGCCGTATTTGCCGATGACGCTTCGTTAAAAGCGGCTTGCGGATCTTGTTACCAGATCGAAGCTTGGCCAAAAAGTGTCCGACGTATAGTTTCGGCACTTGTGGAGACGTCCATGGCATTGGTAAGGTGTCGTTGGACCTCTACGGCAGTATCCATGGCCCCCGAAGTGATAAGCCTCACCACATACCGGGCACTGGACTCTGATAACTTCCTTGGGCGCCCTTTTGAGGGTGGGGCAACAGCGGCGCAGTATTCCTTTCGTATCCTAGCAACAGTAGACTTACTCACGGAAAGTTCTTGGGCCACCCTACGGGTGGATACGCCTTCGTTAATTCGCTTGATAACTTCGGATTTGAGGGCAGGAGAAATAGGCTTCATGGTCAGCAAGTTGTATGAAAAGTATTGGATGAGAGAGGGAGGAAGTAGATATATTTCCAGTTAGCTATTCGAGTGTTTTTATCTTCAGTGGATAGGTAGATCGAACGGAATATCACATATATCGCGAGATTGTCCTAAACGGTCAAAAATGCCCCAATAGTTTTTATATTTCACAGTGGCATAAGTTCATAGCCTGCCAATAGTAATTCATCATTGGCGGCTTATTCGAAAGCCAAGAAGCAGGGCTATCACATACTAGCAGTTCAGGTTTATTAATTGATATCATAACAGGCGATGGAATGCGAAATGGTCAAACATTGGGGCATTTTTGTGAGTCATGTATATAGGAACGTCAAGTGTTGCGGTTTTAACACAGTCGACAGATAATAATGCGTTGAATACCCAATTCGTATTAAATGTATTTTATATTGATGAGCTTTGATATTATTTGGCGGATTATATTTTCTACCAGTCAACCATAGGTTGTGCAGAGAAAAATTATAAGCGGTGCAAATATAAGGATGAGAAAAACAATTTGTCATAAAAAATATATACAAAAAGCAAAATAACACAGATATATTACTATTTAACTATTAATTATTAGCGAACATTGTTATCTGATTTTTACTATAGACTAAAGAAGTTTTTCTTCTGAAATGTTACCTTTTAGAATCTACACTCTACATTCACCTTTATCTAATGCTTCCGGAGATTCTTCTCCATCAGACTGTATACAATCCGTGATCATGATAGTTCAGTCTACAACTCTCTGCGGGCGCTTCATAAATAAAATTTATTATCTCTGCGGAGTTAAGCTTCTGAATAGTGGTAGCGCGATGTCGACAGCCGCTGAATAAGTATTCGAAATTAATTAGAATTACAGTTTTATGTTAATTTTATGGAGTGAAATGAAAATGAAAACTGCTAACAAAGAGTGTTAGCTCGGTAATTTCTTAGACATATCATCTTAAAAGATTAAATTAAAAAAGTTTATATATGATATATTAAAATATCCATTAGAAACAAATATGAGTATTTAATTCATTCCATATAATTACTAATAAATTAATAGTAGTAAAAAAAATTGATTCAAAATAACGTCATTTTTATTTTTCGTATTCTTCTCAATAAACCATTTTATCCCCATATCATTCTAACGTAAAAAAGTAACAACTACTCTTGGTATGTCTAGGTTTGTCATATTAGATTAGAATGACGTCAAAGTAGACGTGTATGCAATAATATATGCTCAATTGATTAAGAATAACTGCGTTAAGAATAAATTAAGTTATAAGATTTGACATGAACAAATACTTGACAAATATAACATACACAAAGTGTTTGGGATACTGTTTTTTATGTAATTCGAATGGCACACAAATTGATGGTCCACCCGATAGCAACTGGTAAATGTCGTCTATATATATGAAGCACGGACATCACGTTATCCTGTGACGCCTGTGGCACCACTCATATATCGCCATTCCGGAAGACTAAGTTATCTTCATCTGCTTCTTCCTTATCCCATTCATTTGGGGTCGGCGTATTATGTTTTCTTTGACCCTATAACCTTCATATGTGGACGACTATGATATCATAACCTTTACAAGTAAAACAAATTTTACAAAGCTAGATGGTTTGAAGCTGTAATGGGTGAGATTGAGGCACCCACGAAAAGTAATTCGCAATTAATAGGTTAGAGCTAAATAATTTCTACAGATAAATAATCGTGAATACTTTACACGCTGTAGTACATAAGTAAACCGTTGAGTGCATACATTGTTCTCATACGATCCGTGCCATGCCTCGAATGCTGGCCCTTAACTCGATTAATCACCCGATGCATCGAGAACTCCATTCCAGCAAAACTATTCGAGCGTAGGCAAGTTTTCAGGGCGGAGATTATTGTCGCAGAAGATGTGTTAAGAAATTAGAGAAATGTATATAAACTAATATTACAAACAAATAGTAAGATTTGATTTTAATTTGAAGAAGTAAGTAATATATTACTCAACCGTGAATAAATATACACATATATAAATGGTAGAAATTCAATAGACAAGTTAGATAAATTACTTTTGCCTATAACACATAAAATTGATTGTAATTTATTTTAAAAAATGTATACGTCATTAGAAAATTTGTACCGTTGTGAGTCGGTCCCAGTACATAAGTAATAACAGATGATAAATATGTTTGTATGATTGTTTAATTATACAGAAATCAAATGTTTGTATAGTGCGAGTGTCGAACGCGCGACAATCGGAAGTAAAACCGCCAAGTTACTAAACTGCTAGACCACCAAGGCAGTCATAATAAATAATTAATAATTAAAACAACTTTCATTTACTTATAATCTAAAACTATGGTAAGTATTTTCTGTTTGATTGTCACCTTGGAGCAAGATTTCAATTCGAACATACCTTCGGGGTTTATTTTAGGTATACAATCAAAAATGTAGATACTTTTTATTGCTGTCGTGTTGAAAGTTTGACCTTTAGATGAAGGAAAATGATAAATATACTGACCAATATTAGCCGCCACGATAAAATCTGATTTCACTAGTAAATAATTATAATCTTGATATACAACTCAGGTTATAATAATAAAAAAACACGAAATAATAAAGCAACCGTTACATTCTTTATATCAAAAGAAAATTCACTAAACAAAATATTCATATTTGTCATTAAACCAAAAATAATTTCTCAAAAAAAAAAAAAGTAGCTATATATCACTGTGTTGTCCGCATAAATTTATGTGAACTCCTATATGTTAATATAGAATTTAATCTATCTGTGTCAAACGACATTCGTATCTGTCCAATGCTTTTTGCGTGAACGAGTAACATATATCCATACATCTTAATAGACATTTTAATTTATAATATTAGTAGAAAAAATCGTTTATAACCAATACATCTAAACATTCTGCAATGAACGTAAAGTTTTTTGAATTAATATTTATAGCGATAAATATTAATACAAAAAACTTAACGTCTAATTTAGTATACAAATTCAATTGACAAGACCTGGCCTAAAACTCAAATATTTATTTATTTTTGCAGTACTTGTCATTGAACCTATATGTACGTACTAAGATACAAATAAAATTCTTTTCTATCTATATAGAATATAGATAGATATAAACAAGGACTATAAAAAGTGGCTTGAACATTAACTATGTACACAATAACTCATCTGTATTGGATTTCAGCTGAATTAATATTGACTTGGACATCCATCATTTTAGTTTCCGTTATGTTTGTTTTCATCTGAAAACAAACGTAACATATCTATGTTCTATCGTATAACTAGAAAAATCCGTTTAGTTGTTTATGTGTAATTGTCTTAATTACTTCACTAACAAGTATATTTACTAAAATATGGAACTGTCACTGGCTCCAGCTCGACATCTGTCTTTAATTTCCCTACCTTAGAAGTTAGGTTAGTTAGGGAGTTCATAAATAGTTGTATAAAAAAATGTTAAAAATAACTTTACTACGTCACAGTTATTACTATCTGACACTCAAGACTATGTTTGATTTTTATGTCGTTCAGAAATTATGACATTTAAAAACAAATTTTCATCCCTATTGAATCTCGTTTCCGGTTTGTTTAGAAATAAAAGATAGAGCACATTTTAAGAATTTATCTTCACATTAAATATATAATCCGTTCATCTGATATAGCACTTTAACCATATTAGTTAAGAAATAAAAACATAAGACAGACATACAGATACACTTTTATAACATTAGTAATATTTAAATTGTACTGTTTTTAAAGAATCCAGAACTACCAAGGTAATACTTGAAGATTGATGAATTAGGTACTTGCATAAAAGATAATTTTAAAGTAGAGTTTTATAGTACTCTAATAATACCCATAACACTTATTGCATTAATTGCATGCACAAAACTAAATCCTAAGCTGACGGTACAATCCTAAAATGCCATTTAAATTGTTCTATTTGTGCTGGAGTCCACTTCTATGCGGTCGGCGTCCACTTTAGCAAGCCTGCGGTCACCAGGTTTCGCTGACATTAACTTGTAATATTCAAAGTTATCTCATTTAAACCTAATTGTATTGCCACTTTTGAAAAAGTCAATTACGTTACAGATATATTGAGACAATCTAGTTTGTCTAAACATGTAAGAATGGAACTTGTGCTATAGTACCTTAAGGTACAATTGCGGCAAAATGATGGCAGATTGTGACTTGCTTCATTTTTTTTAATGTAATTGGAATGCCAAACATACTGACTCTCTAAGTGGCAACTTTCACCTAGGTGGTGGTGCTGTTACCACGGTTATCCTTTAATGTCTGTGTTCTTCATTCTATGCCATTCTAGAGGATTAAAGTCTGATACAAAACCTTAAATTTCTCACGTTGCGAATTTTTCATTACTCGATAATGTTTCAATCACAACAAGATTACTTTATATTATATTAGAATCATATAAAACCTAGATAAATATTTGCATACACAGTCTCTTAGCACAATAATGTTACGCTTCAGAAATCTTGTTTGTTATAGGCTATATAGTATATTTTTCTTACTTCTACGTATTACTTTTCATCATACAATTATTCTATACTCACCATATTAATAAATAAAATTAGGCCTCAAGGCAGTCTTCTATATTTGAGCATCTGTAACAAAAAATAAAATGTTATACATAAAAATTTAACGAAAGTTTTACAGAAGTTCTTCAGGCTATGTACAATAGTTTGATCATAGAATGGACAAGAAACTCGGCTTACATTCTCAATTTAAAGTTGGTAAAATATGTTTATATTTTGTTCAGCAGGCACAGATGGAGTTGCCCGGTCCTCCGCCTGCCTATGACACAGTTGTCGATGGACCATCTTCACACCAAAAGTGCCATTCGCTACAGGTAAATATTATAATTTTGTTATTATCTATATTAATGACTAGCTAGCAGTGTGAAATTTACAGTCTGTGTTATTCTAATATATATAGTATAATAATTTCAAATCAATTCAGTAACAAGCATCCATCCATTCACACTCACAAACTTCTACGTTTATAACTTGTAAAAAGTGAGATGAAGGGAAAATAATTGAACATTAACTGTTACCGCTTTCTACTGTTTTACTTACCTCGCGATCTTCACGTTTTTCATTACGATCAGTTCAACCTTTTTGTCGTGAATACAGATAAATTTACAGAAAGACGGAACCATTATGTATGAATGAATTTTAGGTAACACTAAATAAACGTTGCCGTCATGACTTTAATATTAGACAGAGTAGTCAGAAGCGTCAACTGTAGTCATCTTCTTTGACATGTTGCACTAGGTTATATTAATGTGTGATATAAAATTGTCTATCGACATATAGGCATGTACTGATGTATATTATAATAATTACATTATGTAATAAAAAATATTAAATAATGATTATCAATATAACATCAATTACTTTCAAGTTCACTGCGTAATAACATATGTTTGAGAAAACCATAGCATATCATACTATAAAACTTTATTAGCTATAATGGTAAGGTTTTACATGCATTTATTTGCGTCATGGTTGGTTGAATTGGTTGTTGGAATTTAGGACTATGTCACACACCGAGTAGATTTTGTTAAAAGCGTACCTTAATAGGCTGACATAGGTGAGGCGCAGGACTGTTTCAGCCGCTAAATAATTTACACTATAAGCTGTGAAATTATAGGATATGGTGGCAGTACAACTTCATTCTCCAACTCCAATTGCCAACGTATGCGTGTTATTATGGATGTTACATGATAACGTGATGCATATAAGCGACGGTAGCACTTACTATCAGAAAGAAAGAAAAATATATTTATTCAGTGCTTTTCAACAATGTTACAATATAAAAAACAAACAAACGAATGGAAACTATCAGGTGGACTGCTACTTCAGTTGCTTAATAAAGTGACTATTTGCAGTTGTCGAGGTGATATTTAGAATAGTGTATTTACCAAACGCCTGGAACCTATAGTACTAGCTGCGCACAGTTTGCCACTAAATGAAGTCGCGCGAGTTGTCTATGGTTATTAAAAAAATGAACACATGTGAAAGTGGACTTATTATTGTTTAGGTATAAAAATCAGTCATATGTGATACGTAAAAACGTAAGTAAACAGTGACATTGCTTTCGAAAAATGTTAACCACTCGTGATAAAGTACAGCAGTGTTTGCTTATGCGATAAGCTATAACTGTTTACACGTGACTGTTAGAACGTTATTGCATTGTCCAATATATAGCATCATTAGCTATTTCGTGAGAAATCGTCTGCTCTTTTTGAGATAAAAGATTGCCTACATCTATTTTCATATTATTAATTTAGATCCGTTCAGGTTTTAGTTATGAAAAACCAACAAACAGATACTCAGCAATACACAAACTTTCAAATTGTTAATGTTAGTATGGATATCTAATTTAATATATTAATTTATGAAATATTTGTGTTTGATATCTTGTAATACACAATTTTAACCAGTATTATATATTCTGCGATATTTGCATAACCATATTTATTTAACTGTTTGTGTCTGTGTAAAATTCGGATTTTACGATTTTTATAAAATTCAAAGTATGTTTATATATATAATACATGTACACTCGTGCGAAGCCGAGGCGAGTAGCTAGTAATTATATAAATGTCTGGACCGATTTTAATGAAAATTTGTGTGTATATTCTGGATGGGTTAAACACACCGCGCGTCTGTTGGCAAATTTGAACATAAGCATTTTCAGCGTTATTTTTTTAGTATAGATTTTGTAATAGAAAATATGAATTTGTATGACGGTCTAATATATAAATGTTGTAATACATAAGATAATCAATAATTTTCTTTTTATACATTATTATTAACCTATTTATTTATTAATGTAATAATATATTTTCAGCAGGTAGTAACAGAGCCGAATACTAACTGTCAGGATCCAGAACGCAGCGATAGTGGGCTACCATCATATGAAGCTGCAGTGTTACTAAGGGATACCAAATTATAATATGCCTTTAATATCATAAACACAAGTAGTAGGTAGTAAGTACACATACAATTATAAGAAATAATATGTAAGTATTATTATTAATTTTGTATTGTTAAATATTTATTGAAACCACAAGTTCTCAACCCTATTTAGCACTGCATAAAAATACCTAAGTGTAATTGATTTTGGTCCTCAGTTACTTTATCCTATGATAAGAAATATGTTTTCTTTTTTACACCTTCTTTTGTTATCTATATTTTTCTTAAGGTATACCTAAAAAGATATATTAAAATTTATGTGTAATGTTTTCAGTATTACCAGGATATATTCTAAACTGCGACGCTTACATAACTAATGAAATATTTATACTATACGTATATTTTAAAATTATTTCTGATTTTCCAATGGTCTCGCTAGAACACCGTAGCGCCAACTACTTCTCTTAGAGACTTATAGTAATCTCTTAATACATAGTTTCCTGTAAGAACGGTAACAAGAGAGTGTTATTTAGACTATTTAAAAAACGCTTAAGACTGGTTTAATTTATACATGTAATTACTTTTTATGATGTAATATATGGTGCATTATAAAATTCATAGTACACATTAAAATAGAGCTTAAAAGCAAATTTAAAAAATATGAATATACCAGTGAACGGCCTATAAACAGAAGAAATTCTGGACCTATTTGTATAACGATCGTAAAGGATTTATGGACTGTTTGATTTTCGCAATTATTAGTACACCAATATTGAATAAATATGCAAATATCAGATACGAAGCAATAAATACAAATAAAGTAAGAACCAATAAACAAAAATATCCAAAATTTCGCTACAGACAGTAAAGTTAGCAAAGTTCACTCCTTAACAACTATGGTAAAATTTTAAACATGATGTATTTCATAGAAAGTGTAAGGGTACCATAACTTACACTTTTATTCTCTATTACTATATATCACGTATCCAATGTAATCTCAATACATAATATGTTGAAATGCAGTAATTAGTACACTTACTGTTATATAAATTTCCTTTAATTTCGAGTAAGAATTCTAATTATAATCCATTCGTAAATTAATAGGATGCATTTGCATATTAAGAATACATTTAAATAATACAGTAATCTAGTATACACCCAAATTTAGCCATAAATTAATCGAAATTTTCTTTTATGTTTATTCCACCTACTTTAATAGTCACGCTGGCTTTAAGCATAACCAGGGAAATGTCAACTGTGGCGTTCACCATGACATCGACGTCTATGCTGATAACGATCCTATATATGCATATATATTTGGATTAACAATCCTATCTATATTTATAAATAATTCGTTTTAGAGACTGATGTCCATTTAAAGATACAGGCAAATGATTAAGGCTTATATTATCTTCTTTTGAATGGTGGATTGGATAACGTATGTATAATTAATAGTATTTTTTATTAAGGGCGTCGGTCTATTACTAGATGTTTAGACATGCAGCACAGCGATCTACGGAGATCTATTGTACTCGCCCTGTTTCAGAGTTCGCTACGCGCTATTAGCTAGACCAGTCAAGGATAACAATTAAAAGACACTCAGGAACGATGGTTTTTTAAGGGGATATTTCGTTGACATATGAGGGGTCTACTACTATATAAGAGATAAAAAAATAATTAGTTATCTAAATAGGGCACTGAACAATAAACATATACCTATGTCTGGACATAATCCTATAAGTACAAGCCTTTCCCAAGTTTTATCCTCGCATGTCAGCCAACTCTAGCCATTCATCACGAATGTCAGATCTCGGGTAAATCGTGAGAAGGAATTGTGCTCAGCATACATTGCACCTTGATCCGGCGCTACGTGACTCGATTACAACTGCGGTATTTCGGTGTTATTGTATTTTATGAATGAGTCGCGATCATGACTTCCGAGGCCATATTCGAATAGATAAATCACTTATCGATATAACTACTCTATGTTTTACGATCATTGTATTTGATCATTATAAATCGAGTAGAATTAATTTGACGACTAATACGATTTGGACTAGTTTTTTTTAAACTTATTATATAAGCAAATATTTTTCTTTTTATACAAAATTCGTCTTTATGTTATCTACATTGATTTGGATGAAAATGTCACTGTTAAAAATAACAATGTATCGATTTGGTTATATTAAAACTTATAAGAGGAAAGAGTTATTTTAAGAATAGTGTAAATTTCAGTGGTCAAGGGATGAAAAATTTTAGACTTCTCAATTTTTGTTTTGTTTTTGACTTCTGAATTTTGATAAAAAATCACACAAGTTAAGGGTTAAGGTTAGAACTGAGCAACTGTACATCAGGATTTCTTATGTCTAACTCCTAAGAAATCTAACGTGAATAGATAGCGTGCGTAGATATAGATAAGTAACTAAAAAAATTACGGGTGGCCCTATTTCGCATTATAATAAAAATTACAGAACTTCACAAGCAAATATTGTTTTTGTCTATTCTGTTAAACTGGCTTTAAACAGAATAAATATTTTATTTCTTTTTTTTTAATACCTGTATACATAATGTAATATTGTAATGTATATATAATAGTGTAATATAAAATAATAATTAATTCGCTTATCAATTAAACACTTTCAGACGAGTCTTATGACTAGGGTAAGTGAATATAAAATTAATATGTACTACGTAATACGTGCATTAACAGTAGGTGGGCCAATATCAAAATAATATTAAAATTAAGTCAATATTATTGTAATATTACTTAGAAAGTAATTATTTGCACATTTTGTGATTATGTACGAGTATTAGATGTAAGGTTGTTCGTATGTACTTTTCACGACCTATAAAGACTATTATTTTTTATTATATGCCTACTACATGTTAGGACCACAAATTTATTAGTTATTTATTGATTTGAGTCTTTTCTTTTATTCAAAATAAAAGTTCAAATTATTTATCCTTATTTTTTATTAGCATAACTAGTTCGGGTTACCACTACAGTCGAAAAGAACTGGCAAGAAAATGGTACATTTTTTAATTCTTGAATTATTTACTATGTATTCTATTACTAAAGGATATTAAATGAAATAATTATTTTCAATATTCAATTGTATATTTATTTATATTAGTGTTATATTATATACGTAAAGGCGATCACAACAAAATATTTATTCAATGTTTCGATGTATATTAATTACATTACCTACTTATCAATGCAACTGTGAAATACTGAACATAATACTTACATATTACCATATTATTACGGTCGGAGCGCGGAAAATTCAATTATTATTTGTATATATATTAGTTGCTGTGATAGAAACTAATGTAGTCAAATGTACTTTAAGTTAGAAATAAAACTATACGAATTTACTTTGCTGTTTATTATTTCTCTCTATTAAATGAAGCTTCGTAGCATAGGTTACTAACTTTTTTATTTTAATAAACCGACAGTTATGGGTCCTTTCATTCTCTTTTAGTGCCCATCTGTTTATACCATAAGTGTAGGCAGTATTCCATCAATATGGATAATTAATAATTAATCAATGATCGCCCTAGAACTAACTACATTGATATCAATGTCACTTGTCCCATTAATAATAAACCATTCCTTTCAATCACTTTTCCACTATGTTACCCGTTGATACCAGTTACTACCTCACATTTTTGAAACTACAGGAGAAGAGAGACATCGTACTCTTAATAACAATTTTAATACACAAACAATAAAAAATTTTGGGAGATTGACTATTATGTTATTCAAATTCAAATTCAAATTCGCGTTAATTTATCCTTAGGTGGAAATTATTAAAATCCTTTCTATGGGGATGCCTACGTCATAGTATATATTCAGCCCGATCAGTATAAAATTGACAAAGTTTCATACAAACTTTCATCCCCTTGGGAGTAGAATTAATCAAAATCCTTTCTTAGCGGATGCCTACGTCATAACATCTACCTGCATGCCAAATTTCAGCCCGATCCGTCCAGTGGTTTGGGCTGTGTGTTGATAAATTCTATGATATTGGCGTTTGGTATTAAGTAATTTCTGTTAGTTAATAATTTTGATATCCGTATTGTAATCCTATATAGTAGCAGTAGCGTTTACCTTACTTACTAATAGCAGTGGGCCTTTTAAAACACGAACAATAGATCATAGTAAAAAGTATTCAAGAAAAACGTTTCGACTTCGAAGTATTGTTAAAAAGGTACATTACGATGTCAAAACAGTGGTATCTATTATACAAGGTCAGGTAACGGAAAGTTTCCATTTTCTATATTTAATTTACTAATGCATTTCGTTATTGTACCACACCCTGTGTGGTTATCGTTCATCTGTTGATGGACGCGCAATCTTTTAGTATCTGAAAATGTTCGCAGCCACATTACGTCAATGTAAAATAAACCTTACACAATATGAAACAAGGTGTGTTCTAGTGATTTGTATTAAAGTTTAAAAACTGCACGTTGGTTGGTCATTTGATTTTTTACTTGTTCAATACTCTAATACTCAATATTGAATGGTTCGGATAACATTTTAAGTTATGTTACGTTATTGATAAAAGTTAACTTATAAATAAGATGAAAAGATTTATTTAAAAAAAAGCAACTAAATAATATTGGTTGTAGAATGGTGGGCCTTAATATTTGCATCTTTGCGAAGACTTCGGGTGGCGACGGTGAGCTATAAAATTCAAAACATTGTTAGACTACTACTACTACGCGTATTCGTTTCTCTTTTTTTTAGAGAAAACATAACTATGTCCGACCTCTTGATACAATCGATCTTCAACGTTCAATAAGATCCGTACAGCAAGGTAACAAATCAAATCAAATTTATTTGCACTAAACATAGGTTTAAATTTGTTGTTATTGTAATTAAACTATTTGTTTAATGTACATTCATTAGTATGAATGTATTGTATGCGGCCCATAGTTTTAGGAAAGCTGGGTGACCTCCATTACTATTGGTCAGTCACGTTAATGCCTAGCGTTTTTTGGTTAGTGGCACCCGAATTGTCATGGAGCCACAGTAAGTATCTAAGGTAAGTATGCGATTACTCTTTCTGATTGTAGTCGTTATGGCTTTCAAGACTCTTAGTTCCTCTATTCGGGTTGCATTATCTTTATTGTTCATTAGGTATCTATGTTGTTTTTATTAACTATATCATCTAGATAGTTTGTTCCAAGGAGAACTGTCTATCAGTCAAGTAGTTTGTTCGGCTGTGTTTCAGTTTCAGAATAAGATATAAAAATAATAATATACCTGGACATACAGCGCCATATAGTCTCGAACTAAGCAGAGCTAGTGTTATGTGTACTAGACAACTGCTAGATATATTTAAATATTTTTCTTTTGTAAAGACATCCATAATAATAATAAAAAATAACCAGACCAATACAAACAATCCTCCGATCGAATCCTGTCCAATTCGAACGGGGATCGATATTACGACCGCCTGAGCCGAGGTTCGAAATCCTAGCGGTACCCGCATACAAAAGTCTTCAGTCGAGTTGACCTTCAGTCGCTCCATAAGTCCTTCTGCAGGTTTGGAGTGCCATCTACACTCGCCCCCTATCGTCCGGTGAAGCTGTAAAGGCCAACTGCGGGCAACAGCATTAGAGTAGGCCGAAAAAATAACAATACAAACAATCATACTCATGAATACAAATATTTGTACCATTCGAGGAATCAATCCGCGATCGATAATTAAGCTGTATCCTATACTACTAGACCAACGCAGTTGTCTATATATGTAGCAGTGAAATTATAGGGTACAGATACATAATACTTTAGTTCTCTGGAATGGCAACGCATAAGCTTTGCGGGCGTCACATTATGACATTATGTTTATATATACAGACGACGGTTTCGCTTACCATGAGGTAGTCTCTTCGGTCTGTCAGCTTTTTTGTCATTTTAATTATAAAGCCTTTGTTGTAGTTTAATTCCAAGTATGATTGGGTCTGGGTGTTTCCTGTGTAAATTATGTTTATATTTGCAATAAAATAACGTATTTAAGTAATCATATAAGTCGCCTAGTACCCATAACACAGGCTCTGCTTAGCTTGGTATTAGATGGCGCTGAGTGAATTTTCCTTTATTATTATTATATTTTTAAACAGTAATCAATTGAAATATTCTTTGCTATATGGTTGTGATAATTCAACTCGTATTAGTAACTTTACGAGTAAGAAAAGTGGAGAGAAAAGTGGTTTTACGCACGTGCTGCCGTCGACATTTAAATAGCTAGTTTTCAGTCGAGCTTTGAATATAAATGAGTGGCCACGTCGCGTGTCGTGTTTATTAATGTGTGCAAACCAACCACAGACTATAAATAGTTTCTTTATGGGAACATCGCGATTGGAGTGAAATAGTATGTAAAGTAAGTTAGCTACAAATTTGTTGAGACTTTTCCGTTAAGGCCTGCGCATACGCGGGAAAGTCGTATATTTTCTCCGCCGTGCATATTAATATTATAAATTCGAAAGTGTCTGTCTGTCTGCCACCTTACACGTCAATAATAATTAGAATTTAGCGTATACAGATTGTAACAGTAACAGATATATGGTGCTTCTATTTCAAAAAAGAATCAGCAAATGATTGAAATACATGATATAGGGAATGAAAATTTATGGAGACAAGGTCGCATGACAAACAGATTTGGTAGTGTTTTATAGTACTGGGTTTATTCATTTCGACGTACTGTTGCGACCAATATACAAATACGAGTACACGACGGTTTCGGTGGACCTGCGATTTATCACAATGCCTTACTTCCGATGGTCGCGAGTTCTATTTCGCGCATGAATTAATCATTTGTATTTATGTGTTGAAAACTTGAAATGTATTGAAGTGTTTGTATAAGCTAAGCAGATCTTGTGTTATGGGTAGTAAACTCATAACACTAGATCTGATTAGCTTGGGACTAGATGACCCTGTGTGAATTGTTCAGTTTAATTATTATTATTGTAAAAAAATATGTACAAAGAAACATACGACAATTCACGTTAAGAGCTCGATATTCAACTATAAAATTATTAATAATAGAAAGTTTGTTTTTCGTCCGGTATAACGTTTGTTTTAAGTCCATCTCGGTCACACAGACAAGGTTGCGCTTCAAAACTAGTTACTATATAAAGCAGTGTCAATATCTAGGTTAAAAATGGATATGTATACAATATATAGGTAGTATATGTAGATAAGACTCTTCAGAGCTTCGAGACGTGCTTGTAGACGCTCTACAAGTGAGTAGATCGAGTGGGAATCCGCCCCACCTTCACAGGCTTTGTCTTGGCATGCTTCGTTACATCGAAATCGTTATCAATATTATATCAGTACCTATATATTGCGGTCATACCTATATATAAATATGTAAGCCCTAGTCGCGGTGGTCTAGCGGTCTAGCATACCGCCTTACTTCCGATGGTCGCTGGTTTGATTGCACGATGCATATTCATTACTATGATTGTTTGTATTGATCTTAGTCTTTTTAAGTATATTATGTATGCATTTACAAAATGCACATATTTATGTATTTGTATTAGTTCTGTAGTACTAATAATACAAGCTCTGTTTAGCTTGGAACGAGATAATACTGTGTGAATTGTCCAGGGTGATTAAATTTTTTACTATGAAAAAGATAAAGGTTATCTTGTAGAGTATAGCTTTTTATGTAAATGAAATGACATACAACCTGAGAGCCTGTAGCCTATGTATTATAAAGTGTTAACAGTTAGGTACTTACATATTCGAACATGAACAGCACCCTGGACGTATGATGCTATGACAGGCAAGTCATGCGTTGTTATTTCCGAGGACTAAGGTCATACCTCCTTACCTAGTACTGTTATTGCCATGTACCCTTAAAATGAAACACAGGTCACAAATCACCTTCGGCAACAGACTTAGGTGAGACAGGTACCCACGCATTTTACTTTGTTTTATACGTCGGTAAACTGTGTATAAATACAACATAGAGTAGCAAAATCTATTTTAAGCATACAGTCCATACACTATTTAGAAATACAATACATCTGCCGATAAAGCCGATTGCACCGTATCACATATCGTAACATAATGCGGGCTCCTGGTTGAAATTTTATTACGCACAGCAGATTAATTAATTTCCATTTCAATCTATTGAAATTTAATTGTAAAAGAATTATTATGGATGCTCTATAATGTAAAGAGTGAAGAGAAAAATGTGGTTATTAACAGTCTGGGACTGCTTAATCAACAGCCAAACCGTCTGTTATAAACTGTTGAAGACTTTTGAATTCAACTTGACACGGCCACAATCTATCAATATCATCTACTAAAATAGTAAAATTTTGACGAAACAAATAGGCCTGTTTTCTATTTATGTGTTCAGATTTCACGAAAACAGGGAGAAATTAAGATAAAGTTTTCACAGAATATGTGTCAACTTTTAAGCTAAAGAAAGCTAAAATACTTCCCAAATGGAATAAATAATTAATTTTATGAATAGTTTCAATATGCCTACAATTGTAATAATTAGTTCGCTATAAATAACAGATTCTGAATTATTCTCGTTTGTTGGCCCTAAAAATGGAATTATTCAGTGACGGAATACACCATCCTGACGCTGAATAATTGGACAGAAAGTTAAAGAAGTTGGACAGAAAATTAAGAAAGGATTTGGTGTTGGTTAGATTATATTACATAACGTTTAAAATATACCTTTAAGATCGTGTAATGTAAGTCGGAAAACACTAAGATGAGATGTTCTCAATTTGACGGTAATTGTCGCTCGAATCCGACGGAGAAAATTGATAATTATATTAAGTACCTAACATAAATATTACTGCGGAATCGAGAAATTCTTGAAACCTGTCCATAATCTTCAGACTTAATGTGAAACTGAAAAACATAAAGAAACGTAGAGATGCGGACAGAATATAAAAAATATATATATATTTTTATACTAAAGTATACTAATTAATAATAACTTAGTATATGAACACTAACAAAATATAAACTATTTACTTTTAGCTGCATTCTATATATACTTTAACTAGATGTAGCCAGAGTTGATAACTGTTTAATTAAAGACAAACAGTTACTTTACATTTTATGTAAAATTAGCTGAAAGGTTACAGCGCAAACGGGTACCTTCATAAACGTTTACCAACCTTAAAAATCGTAAGGACACGTAGCTGCTGTTTTTCTTATAAAATTTTTGGTCTGTGATAACAGTCGCCCATAGTCACAATATAGATGGAGTAACACCATAACACCATAGGTAGCTATGACACGCACATTATGTAAGTACATAAATAAGTTTCAAGTTGACATTCATCTATATGCAGACATGCAGTACATAAAATACTTAATATCGAGTATTTTAGTTCACCCGGCATTTTGTTTTTTGTTAATATATCGCCACAAAACGCTACGAACTCATCAGGTTAGGTCAGGTTCGTTTTTAACTTCCTTAAATGAGCGTGCTTCCTTAAACCACAGACGTCAAATTCAGGTGCATTGGATGCATTGTGGCCTTATTTTCCTCGCACCTTTGTATAAGCGTGGTAGTCATAAAATTGATAAGTTACTTATGGTACAAATATGCCAACGCTATAAGCTGTAGATGAAGCCACAATGCGGGATGCTATACGTTTTGTACCGTTTCCCAAATGTTACTGTTAGTGTGGTAAACAGTGGTAATATATTATTATGTGGAGATCATGTAGTAGACGTCTCACTAAGTATATTATCATTATCATTGGACCGGAACGTTTATGTCATTATAGAATTTGTTTTAATTAAAACTGTTTTATCTGCATACGAAATATTATCATACTTACTATGTCACAGTTAATTTTACATGTCTGCCGCTCATCTCAGCGTATCTATAACAAAAATACATATTTTTAATATTAGTACATTGACACATACTTGTAAATGACAGATGTTCATTCAATCCCAGTTCTAATAATCACGAATGGATTCTGATACTGACAGAAATAAACATTGGAAAATCGTTTTTTATAGACATATACTTAGGGAGAACAACAAAAAGCGATAATAACGGTTAACAGTTCTTGAACGCAGTGCCCTATAAAGCAATGAGCGGAGAAAAATGTTTTGCACATTTCACACGGGTATTGAGCGTGAAGCCGTCAAAATTCTCTGTTATGGAAATAAAAAGGTTATTGCTTAGGCCGATGCTTTGACATCGTCAGGCAGCCGATTCTATACTTTATTGTGTGGCAATAAGGCGTGACAGTAAAAGGTTGGACGACTAACTGTTACTTTTGTCGAGACACAAAGTTCTCGACGGGGGTGAGTTTGCCAATAAAAGAAAGCTGAAAATATCACACCTCGAAGCTATCTATTGTGCTGTTCATTAAACAAAATTATATCGTAAAGCTTGATAAATTGCGAAAATATTCCTGCAAATATTTATGGCTAGCGATATTTCCTCGCTATATTAAGTTGCGGGATTTTAAAAGGTTAATTAACATCTCAATTACGTTTTGGTGTTTATTAATTACTTGTGTTTGTGAAATGTCCGATAAATGAGTGCACTTTGAGACGTGAAATCTGGCTTCATACAAATATACATGTATTATTTCCACAAAAACTGATCAGAACGGATCAATTGTGCAAAATGGATTATACCACAAAATCTACAAACTTTAAGAGAATATTTAAATCTGTTCAAATGTTATGGTAAAATTCTCTAATTAAATAAATACGTACACAATATATATATAAGATTACATTTTATTATTATATTATATAGTATAAGAACATTTATTGATATAGTTCTTAATACTTATTTTAATTATTATTATTATTATAACTTGGCTAAGGCTGAAATTCTTGAGATTTTATCTGATAATTTTTGAAATATGAGATTGTTATGCCATATACTTTCATGTAATTTTTTTTTAATATCCGTTTTGTCGTTTATTTTAGAAAAGGTAGCAAATAAACAGCCACAATCATCCATCCATTCACATTCACAAACTTCCACGTTTATAATATTAGTAAAATAACATAGTATTAGCATGGCTAATACATATTATCATATTATTATAATCTCGAACTTGTACTTATTATTTTTCTTTTTTTTTATACCACGTAGGTGGCAAATAAGCATACGGCCCATCTGATGGTAAACTGTTACCGTAGCCTATGGACGCCTGAAACACCATTTCTTATTACAAATAAAGAAATTAGGTAAGATTTTTGTAAAAACCCAATACGTGTGTATTGCGCGTTTACAAAATGTGCATTGCATTTTCTCGAGCGAAGCAAACATTTTGATAATAATTGTTTGCGCATCAACACAAACAAGTTGTTTACAGAAATGCAGAAGCCGAAGTAATAACAAGGGCTTTCAAATTAGCCGAACAACATACATAGATCTAACTGTTCTTAGATGGTATGTTATTTACTTTGAAACTAGTTACTTGCATTATTTACCTTAACACGTATTGTTTTGTTTCGTCGTGCAAATACAATCTCGGAACGATTTATGTTTAAAACAATGTCTTTTTTAAAACTAACAGAATAAGATGGGAGGTACCACTATACAGTTGATTAGTATTAATAATCATAACAAGCGTGAAAATTCACACAGTCCCAAGATAAGCAGAACTTAGTGTTATAATCACACATTTTTTTCTAAATAAATACCTAATTAAATTATACGTAGAAAACACCCAGTCCAACAACTATATATATACAAATAATCATACTCATCAATACAAATGTTTGTATTGTGCGAGAATCGAACTCACGACTATCGGAGGAAAGATGATGTCTTAAACCGTTTGACTACCGAGGCTGTCAAGGAGAATGTTATAGGAATTAAGAATATAATTATTTGAGAGCAGTTTTCAAAAGGAGTTTTCATCAGGAGGTTGTGACAAAACAAAATGCATGAATGCTAACTGAAAGTAAACTTTATGTGAACAGAAATGTATGTAAAATAGAAGTTCTAGAAAAATAGTTCCAACACTACAATAAAAAAAACTGAATTGGAAAATATAGGACTCTGTAGTGGTCCGGAGACGTACTCTAGGGGGTCGTATAAAGAAAGAAATTGTTTAATTTGCAATTTTTGTTGCATTAAACTGGCGTTGGTCTGATAAGAAATATTATAAATAAAATACTTATATCATATTCAATTTAAATCTGGAATAATAATTTTGTCTGTCATTCTACTAATACGTGAAGCATAAAAATTTGTACCCCTTAGGAGTATGAAATAATAATCATTATAACGATCGTCTTTATTTGTCTTAATTAGTAAATTATATATAATATCGCGCTTTTATAGTTTATATAGAGACGGTGTGCAGAGGGCTAATATTTTTTTATTATGCATTAAAAATACATTATATCAATAAAAAAATAGAGCCCAGAATAATTTTAAAATTTATAATTTCAAGTAATTACAGTAGAATTTCGATCATTTAGCGATCACTAGTAGACATTATTATCTATCCAACTAATAAGCGTATGAGTACAATTAATATATTTTTATTTATGAAGGTTACTAAACAGGAATCAATATTGTTATATCTATACTAATATTATAAAGCTAAAGAATTTGTTTTTTTGTTTGAACGCGATAATCTCAGGAAATTCAAAAATTATTTTTATGTTGGATAGCCCATTTGTCGAGGAAGGCTTTAAGCTATATAACATTTTTTAATGCTCCACTTATTTACATTATTTTTCTTTTCCTTTCTGGTGTGTGTATGTGTATATGTATGTATATATATATATATTTTTGTGTATTTTCTCTATATATTATTGTCTATATATGTCATTGTGACGCGTATTATTTATTGTACCTATTATCACCACTGCGCAATTCCTCTCAGTAACTCAAAGGTTGACTGGAAGAAATCCCTCTTCTGGGATAAGTCCGCCATTGTACGCATGTTTTTTTTTCTAAGTCAATTGTGTCCTTTTATTTATAATATTATTGTACAATAAAGTATTACAAACAAACAAACAAACATTATAAGACCAATAGAAGCGAAGCGTTAGTGAAAAATGTTGTGAAAAGCGGGGAAAACTGTTAGTGTTTTTGTTAACCACCAACCAATATATGTAGCATGTACCAATAATACTACTAATTGAATATACTAGTCATATTTAGCTTAGATTCCAATGCAAAGAGCCTTCTATAAATAGGTGTAAATATTAATTTACATACACCATCTATGCCTCGCCATGATCCTTTTATTACATTTGGGGTCGACGAATACATAGATAAATTAATTACTTATATACTGTGAATTAGATAACATTGTAATATAACATTTCCTCAATTTCTTACATTCCGGGGAAAATGGTTCTGCAGAACGGATACTGGGGTACGGAAATAAGCAAATTGCTATTTGGGGCGACAAGGAAAATGTCGGCAAACACTTGAATGAAATGTCACAGAAAAATGTGTTTTGTAGCTGTTACGAGTCTTACAAGAGTAAAACAAAACGATCCTTTAATTCTACACACATTTAAATAATTTGGGTTATTTTAAAGAAAGTTAACAATTGTATTACCCATGTTATTTTCCATGGGCGCAATTATTATATTACGCTAATTGCAGTAGGATTATTAATAATTGATTTTCTGTTTGTGATAGATACAGCGTTATAAATATAATATCTATTCGTTCTCCTTCCTTAAGTATCACTTTAGATTATAACGAAACAAACTACAACTTCATCTGCATTCAGATTGACTTTGTGCAAATTGGGATTTAGTATTCAAAAGTATTTATTATTGTATGCTATTATTACTATGTATATATTCATGCAAGTATTTTTTTTATAGTGCCAATTTTAACGTCCTTGTAAACAGTAAGTAATCCTTACTTAAAAAAATAGAAGCAATGTATTATCAAGAGATAGTATTGAGAACATAATTACAAAAGGCCAATAGTATTTATCTCCCAGATTACTATGATTCTATTTTATATCCTCAGCACTCTTATTGATTGATGTTATTTTTCTTCGCTCTTATTTTTCAAGTAATGTTCTCCTAATGACAATAATTATTTCTCAGCACAATACAACAATAATAAATAATCAATACAATTGAACAATTATATTGCCACACAATTATGTAATTTTCTTTTATTGCACGTTCCAGTGTATTGTTTGTATTGTGTCCGAAATTTCTGAGGCCATTGTTCCTATATCTGCGGTGCAGTGGCATAGAAAATTGGCAATAAACTTTGAAGCCGAGGGGACCTCGGCCCGTGGACTGAAATGGCAAATGCGCTGCATGCCCTGCCGCAGGCCTGCAAAGATGCTCCATGTTATATAAGGTAATTTCAAGTTAAGTATGTACAAATATTTCAAGGGCTGGCACAAATAAGTTAGACAAAAATGTTTTTAAAGTTTCAAGTATCGGAGTTATTACACAATACCGATACTACATGCATTTTAAAATAGTATCATTCCATGACATACACGTACTTAAACAAAATAACATTGACTTTCAAATTATTAACTTAAGTGGGTATAGGTAAAATATTTTAACTTTAACATAGAACGTAATTAATATAATTTCATATTATTTTTTACTTTCACATATTATTTTATTTAAGCCAGGCCTGAGATCTTCGTGTAAGTATTGTTAAATACTTGACAGGAGATCCCGCTGTACTAGGATTCTTGTTATAATTCCACATATATACTTAAAGATAGTTAAATATTAAACATTTCTATAACAATTTTGTTATATTTTAACAGATACACAATTTAAGGATACATAATTCATATATATGATGTGTGTGTATGGTAATAAAATAATCTATTTGGTTAGATAGTGATAAAAATGGGTTGGTCAATAAATAGATAAAATATATGACCAGCAC